CATCTCCCCCGCCACCCTCACCGACACCCTGCAGTCAATAACCCGCGCCGCAGCGGCCGCCGCGCCGGCCAACCCCCCGCGCCACGGACCCCGCACCCCGGCTGGGCACGCCGCGGCGTACCTGCCGAGCCCGAGCCGACCATGCGCAGTACGGAGTACGTGTACTTTTTGCGCCCCCAGGAAGAAAAATCGAGTTTATTCTAAGCCCTCTTTCCTCCTCCCCCCTTCCTAAATATCTCCTTGTTCACTGTCGCTCTCGGAACCACTATTCCCAGGCATCGTCCATTTCTTATTGTGGCAGTCTGCTCTCGACCACCCCCGCGCTGGACTGTCGCTGATCGGCTCCGTGCCCCCCCCCCCTCCAAGTTGTTCATCACATATTGACCGGGGCGGACGGGGGCACTGGGCAGGGGCGGCTCGGGAGGGAGGTAGCGGGGGAGGGGAGCAGGCCCTGGCAACGTGGTGTTTTGGCGTTCATCAGGAAGCGGCGTTGGGGACAACGTGCTACCTGCTGAGCCCACGCCACGGCCGCGGACGCCGGTTTTGATTTTGGAGTCGAAGTAATACGACAGGCCGAAAGGAGCTGAAAGCAGTTGAACCTTGATTTTCGTCTGTTCTTTTCTTTGCCGGGAAACTCCAAGAAGTATGGCGTTACGTCGGTCCTCGCGGGTTGAATCGCAGATAGAGCCAAGAGCGCCACCATCGGCGCGGCGGCGGCGGCCTCGGCTGTCGCAGCCATGCGCCGCGATACCCTCGTTTACGTCAAGTGTACTTCCTGCGAACGTTATTCCTCCTCGAAGTCTCCCTGCGCCGCTGCGGCTGGCGGTGCCCCCGCGCCCCCCACACCCCGCGCCTCCTCGGAGAAGGTCCTTGGGGCGGCGGCCAGCGGCCCGCGGGGAGGAGAGAGAGAGCACGGCGAGCGCCGGCGCGGTGCCGTTCCCCTGAACTTGACTTCCATCGCTCATGTCTCTCAGCGAGTCGGCTCCCCGCGCGCCGCCCCACCCCGACGACGCCGTTGCTCTGCTCCGCGGGGCGGATCTCTCTTGGCGTGGCGTGGCGGGCGTGTATATGACGGCGCGGTCGTGCCGGGGCCGTCCTCCATCCGCAGGGGTACAGTGCGCGGAGCCCGACCCGCCGGCCACACCCGGGGTAACCGCTTTGCTCTCGCCTCGATACAACGTAAAAACACAATTTCTTGGAGTTGTGCCCGTCGTCGTTGTCGTCGTTGTGGTGGTGCTGTCGAGGCTGTCCGCCGCTGCTAGGCTGACCATCGCGCCGCCGCCACCGCCGCCGCCGGCGGTTCGCGTTTCAAAATACTTTCCTCCGCAGCAGTAAGAAGCACGGGATGGCAATGATAAATTTACGCGAAGAGAGGACGCGCCGCCTCGTCGCCGTCCCCGCGCACCCGTCCTGGCCACACGGCCGCCGGGCTGCTGTCGTCGAGGCGGAGGAGGTCCTCTCCAGGACTGCGATACTTCCGGCTCCGACCCCGTCGGACTTACGACTTTACACACAGTGTGCGCGCGCGCACACGCTCACACAAATACACATCATGTAAAAGTATGTCGTCAGTGTCAAGTCCATAGGGACTTACCGAGATAAATGCGGAAAAATACTGCAACAGCTCAGCTGAGCTAAAAGCGAAGAAAAGAAATAAACACTGCACCAGATCTTTTGAACCGTAGTCGGACTGCTATTTTCTAATCTTCACGTGAAACAAAGACGGGGATGTAGTAGTATAGGGGTTGGGACAGTATGCGCCGGGACGAGTGGGCCCTCTACTAGGGGGGGGAGGGTGACAAGCGGACGCGGTGAGGAAATAGCGAGGGGGCACCCTAGGCTCCCCCTCCCCCCCTCCCACCACCGAGGGACCACGTGGGTAACGGGGCACGCGAGGACACTGCCTCGCCTCGCGCGTGCAATTCCAAGCCACGGACCGGAAAGGATTTTGGCAAGGTGCGCGTCGTCGTGTCGGCCCGACCTGGCCTGGGCCAGCCGCCGCCGCGGGTCCCGGCCTCTTCTCTGCTCTGTCCGTCTGTGAATACGCGCGCACGCTCGGCTGAGATTTCTTTCTTCTTCTCCGCTCACCTCTTAATTTTCCCTGAAAGAAATACTAAAGCAGGAGATCAGGATCAGCGCGTGGTACGTCGCAAAAGGACGTTTATGAGAGACTTTCTTTGTGTGGTGGTTCACATGCCAGAGAGATTGAGGGTCAATCCTCTCCCGCTCCCCTCCTAATAAACAGTTCCCGCTTTCAAAGATGTTTGTCCCGATCTTTGCGGATGGAAGAGTCATCGCTCCCGATGGTGGCTTATATGCCCCAAAGTGCTATGTGGTTTATGGTTCCGGAAGCTACAGCCGCTGCTGTGATCGACTGGAACCTGTGGCGGCCCCCCGTTTGGTCCACGTCGACTCATTAGCGACAGCAGCAGCCGCAGCACAGGCAGCAGCGAGTCTGTTTTGTTCTCTTTCAGAACGCGTCGTATCGCGATGGCGCGGTGCGTCGGGTCGGGTCGGGGCGGCCGCGGGGTGACAGCAGGTGGCGGCGAGGCGGACCCGCGGGGACAGGTGGCGGCGCTATGCTGCCGGTCGCGCCGGTGGTGGTGGTGCCCTGCGCCGCGCAAGAAGTGTTTCATTCCGCCTATAACTCCACGGCTCACTGGCGGTCCACTTTCAGTGGCAGTCGAGGGGCGAGACAATTAACTCCTGCCCTAGCCTCTCGCCCCGCCCC